AGAAACGACTTCAACATTTTTTTTCCATTTTTTCTCGCAAAGAGCAAATGGCGGTTAACAAAATTGTGCAGCGCCCATTTTCAGTTAACAGTATATGTTTCCAAAAACAATGTCCTTAATTAAATTTGTTCTAAAACTTCGTTTTGAAATAATATTAACATAAATGTCTGATTTTTTAAAATTTCAAATGAAAATTTTAAGCGACACGAGGGTAGAGTTTAACTGTGAGGTGAAGGGTAACGTGATCGGCGTGTTGACTCTAAGAACCTGTGATGAATTCCCAGCGTGGAGAAAAACATTTTACTAGTTGGAAACACGTTTGCAGGTTCATGTAGTATTATATTGGTGTAGTATAATAGCAGTACATGTAGTATTATATGTTCGAAATCCATTCTGAATGTTCAAGTCGTAAAGAAAGTCTTTTACTCGCATATAATGGCCATGACTCGCAGAAATTCTCGTTTCTCGTCGCTCGTGTCCTACACATGATCTCGTGAATAATAGCCACCATTATACGGACGTTGAAGAATATAACTATTCTTGTGGCGGCGTCACTATTTTATGGGCAGTTACTGCCTATTTTCACATTCCACGGTGTTCTGGACACTATCTACTGAGGAAGTATCTTGCAATGTTCCTTATCAATGCTACGTCGAATTACATGAATCACGGGAGGATGGAAAATCCATTATTGGCTATTTGGATGCCCTTCATTCCTTCGAATAGTTTCAGAGCCTTTTCAGCGGATCTTCTGGCGCATTCTATTTCATTCTTGACATTCGCGTTCCTATCTGCGAGGAGTGCCCAACAACGACCCCCAGTGTTTTCCTCTGTCATTATGAAGGTAAGAAGTTTCGTCATTTATTATTAGAACCTTTCCCAAGTGAAAATTCAGTCTTTGAACGCTTATCAGATGTTTACAAATCACTTCGAAACCGTTGCTGTGCGTAATCGCTTCGTGAAAATTCCGCTGTTTTCTTACAGTTAGACGTGCCCATAAACTCGACGCAATATTATTTTAGAATATGACGATGTAGATAAGAGTTGTGCAGTCGAAGAAACATTGTGGAAGTTTATCGGTCACAAATGTATTTAACCCCTTTTAACAAGCAACCCTACAGGTTTGTTAAGTGCACCTGTAGGTTAAGAAATTTAACATCATTAGAAACGGAAATAAGATAATAGTAAGCATCCCTTCTCTCATGTTAAATGGCCTTTAAGTACCTTTCGTAAACACTTCTAAATACTTAGGTATGGCGGCGGAAGGAAAATGTGAAAAAGAGAAAGAATGAATTAAGTATTAAATATAGACAGTTGTACTGGCTCTTGGGGATTGCTTGTCAACTGCCCATACAACAAAACTTTAATATACAACCAAATCCTGAAACCGATTTGGCTCTATGGTGTTCAGCTCTGGGGTTGCACCAAAGAAAGCATTATAAAACAATACAGGCCTTTCAGAACAAAGTACTCTGACGTGTAGTACTCAGCACGGTCACAGCTCCGTGGTACATAGAAATAGGAATCTACAGCGTGATCTTGGAATTATATACCTATATGTCAAGTGAAATTAGAAGATTCGCTGCCAAACATGAAAAACGATTACACGAACATGTTAACTTAAAAGCCATTCAACTTTTGGATAACCATAACCAACTGAGAAGGTTAAAGAGGAACAAGGCTTTTGAGTTAGTTTAATATTCTCAACAAATGTAATTTGATATTGTAAATTAAATACATACTACAGTATTGAGTGAACATGTAAATAATATTTGAACTTAGATTTAAGAATATATGTAAATTGATGGTTGGTCATTTGTGACCAGCGTAATATAAAATTAGATATATAATATATATAATTTATATAATTATATAAATTTAATTATAAACGTATATAAGTCAATTAGCAACGAGTTTTAACATCTTTCGCATCTCAAATAAACAAACAATGTTTCATCGCATCGCATGAATTATTAAGAAAAAATGGGGATGTACAAAACAATTCAGATTCAAACAATTCAGAATAAAAGTACGTAATACTTTAGGGGATAATTATTGTTAATTATAATATTATTAATAATACAATTAGAAAAATGTATATTAGGGAAATTAACCTCATTTTCCTGGCACTTCATCAAACGAAACTCCGTTTTAACCGGAGTCACAAATTCATGTGCTGGAAAAAATTACCCTTTTGGAATTGCCTGTATTTCATTTCTAAGTCAGTCGTGATGTGAATGATTGTTCTCATTACGTTAGTAGGCACATTTTAGTCACAAAACCGCTTTTACAGGAATTCGAAAGGTAAAATAAATGGAGGCATTAGACGCTTAATTAACGTCCCGAGTCGTTTCCGCTGTGCAATGACACACTCCCCCCCCCGTGCTCTTTCGCGGCAGTCGTGGGCAGATGTCCGGCTGTTGATGAGTGCGGAATGCCCGCGGAAGCACGCGTTGTGCAGGCCTCGCATACACCCACCGCAATCAGCTTCTGTCGACCGTTCGCGCGCCGCCTCGCTCTACGGGCGCCTTCCCACGGCGCGACCGCGGCGCGCTTCCTTCAAGGAGCAGATCTCTTCCGACGCCGCCACCGCCGCAGCCACCGTCGCACCTCCGCCCGCCGTGGAA